CCCGTCGGATGTCTCGGGAGTTCTGTGTATACACGATTGCAAGCTGGGCGACTGGCCGCCGCCATGTCTCTGCTCGAGCAGGCACGCCCGTGCGATTACGAGCTTGCCAAAGCTACGTTCACCCGCGCGTTGCACGCGCTTGCACGCATGGGGCACCACTTGTGGCGCCATGCTTGCAATTGCCTATAGTGTTGGGGAATTTTTGTAGAGATACGCTATCGCCAGCAATCCTGCGATAGCGTTCTTTACAACCTGCGCAATAAAACGTAAACCTTGTTTACTTCATAATGTTCTCTTTACACCTTTACCTGCATAAATGTGTGTGGTTAGTGAGAATTTGAAAGTAAACTTTTGGCAGAAATCTGCCTGGTTGGGTAAGAATAATTAGAAGAGGAGGAAGGAACGAAAATAAAAAGGAGCCCAACGTTTCGAAACCTGCTTGGTTTCTTCTTCAGGGGCGACTGTGTGCGCGAGGAGCAAGTGGTCTTCTTTTACGGCGGTGGACGTGATGTTTTCGCGATCGTAATGTGGCTGAGCCCGCTGACGTAAGCCGACGGTAAAGCGCCAAGCGACCGATTGATGTTTTGCGGTGTGGTTTGAATGTGCCATGACTCGACGAAGAGCCTTTGCCGGGAATTGGTCTCAATGCCGAGGATGCGTGTGTCGTCGAAGTCAATGCGGTGGTCATTCGAGTCACTGTAATCCGCAACCGCGCTGCGCTCGTGATCGAATTTTCGCACGTCGGTTTTGTGCTGGCGAAGTCTTTCTTTAAAGTTTTTGGTTTCGCCGATGTATGTGGCAGGGCAATCCGCACAAGGAATCTGGTAAATAACGCCTTGCGCTCTTTCCTTCGGGGGACGATCTTTTGGCCGGGGCATCAGGTGTCCAAGCGTTGACACTGGTTTGTGGGACATCTGGATGCCTTCTTTTGCCAGCACACGCGCGAGCGCTTCGCTGGTTTCCTTTATGTAAGGGACGCAGATGCGCGTGGTTGAGCGGGGATGTGCGATTTCTTGTGTTTCGCCGATTGGTCTTAGGCGTTGATCAGATTTACGTTGACGACGAGCGATTCGCTGAATAAAACTGCGTGTGTAGCCGTTATTTAGCAGGTCGGAGATGCTGGTTTCTTCTTCCTTTTTTCTGTAGTCCTCCGACGAGCAAATAGTCTTCGCTCGGGACAGGAGTGCCTGAACGACCGATGCCTTGTGGCTCGCAGGGTGGTTTGAGTCAAATCGGAGATAGCGCCCAGTGTGTGTCGGTTTTCTGTACACCGTGAATTCCAATTGATCTTTTTGTCTTTTGACCAGCACGTCAAGAAACGGCAGGGCGTCGTTTTTTTCAGTTTCAACGGTGAACTGGATGGCCGGCTCGATGGAGTTGAGGTGTCCCCTGGCAGTCGCCACAACCAGAGCTGCCCTCGAGGGAGACAAGAAGCTGAGCGAACGGACCACTCTTACGGTGGACGAACTGTGCCGCCTGCTGGAGTTCTGCCTGGGGAGCACCTACTTCAGCTTTAAAGGAGAATTCTTCAAGCAGACCAGCGGAACCGCAATGGGCGCATCCATCTCCGTCACCACGGCCAACCTGACAATGGAAGTCATTGAACATCGCGCGCTGGAGTCTCACTGCACGCCCTAAAGTGTTTTTACGGTATGTCGACGATTGCTTCTGCATTATGAAGAAATCAGAAGTGAACAACTTTTTGGCACACCTCAACTCCATCGAGCCGGCCATCCAGTTCACCGTTGAAACTGAAAAGAACGACGCCCTGCCGTTTCTTGACGTGCTGGTCAAAAGACAAAAAGATCAATTGGAATTCAGGGTGTACAGAAAACCGACACACACTGGCCGCTATCTCCGATTTGACTCAAACCACCCTGCGAGCCACAAGGCATCGGTCGTTTAGGCACTCCTGTCCTGAGCGAAGACTATTTGCTCGTCGGAGGACTACAGAAAAAAGGAAGAAGAAACCATCATCTTCGACCTGCTAAATAACGGCTACACACGCAGTTTTATTCAGCGAATCGCTCGTCGTCAACGTAAATCTGATCGACGCCTAAGACCAATCGGCGAAACACAAGAAATCGCACATCCCCGCTCAACCACGCGCATCTGCGTCCCTTACATAAAGGAAACCAGCGAAGCGCTCGCGCGTGTGCTGGCAAAAGAAGGCATCCAGATGTCCCACAAACCAGTGTCAACGCTTGGACACCTGATGCCCCGGCCAAAAAATCGTCCCCCCAAGGAAAGAGCGCAAGGCGTTATTTACCAGATTCCTTGTGCGGATTGCCCTGCCACATACATCGGCGAAACCAAAAACTTTAAAGAAAGACTTCGCCAGCACAAAACCGACGTGCGAAAATTCGATCATGAGCGCAGCGCGGTTGCGGAACACAGTGACTCGAATGACCACCGCATTGACTTCGACGACACACGCATCCTCGACATTGAGACCAATTCCCGGCAAAGGCTCTTCGTCGAGTCATGGCACATTCAAACCACACCGCAAAACATCAATCGGTCGCTTGGCGCTTTACCGTCGGCTTACGTCAGCGGGCTCAGCCATATTACGATCGCGAAAACATCACGTCCACCGCCGTAAAAGAAGACCACTTGCTCCTCGCGCACACAGTCGCCCCTGAAGAAGAAACCAAGCAGGTTTCGAAACGTTGGGCTCCTTTTTATTTTTGGTTGGCGTTCCTTCCTCCTCTTCTAATAGTTAGTGAGAATGGCAATCAAACGTGAAAAAGTTTTTACCGTGGCGGGATAGGTGACCAAAATGTAGTAATGTATACGCCTCGCAAGTGGGCTCATTTTCGTCTTCTGCGCATGAGAAAGGATGTAGCGGTGACGTCAGAACGCCGAGTCCTGATTGGGTGATCGCGACCCCCTATTGAGCGTCGTCTGCTCCTTTGCAACGTCGTCTGCTCGCAACGTCGTCTGTTTCTGTCTTACCTTTCCTGCGACTTTCGGAGCAAACTCGCTGGAGGGCAGACGAAATAACTCGAGCGGTACGTTGTTTTCGTCTAACAACTAGCAGACGCGCATCAAGGAGGGAAGTCAAAGGATTCACTGGCGAGGTGTCCCGGGGCGCCGAGGTTTGTTTGCTTAGTGTCCGCAAGTTCCTTCCCAAATACTTTTTACCTCCATTCGTGTGCGGCGAGACCCCTCACTCGTTAACGGCGCCGGCGGGTTGGCGCAGTTAACGTCGTCTGCTTTACGTCTGCTAGTCAAAGCGATGGCTGCTTCACCTTTCCTGCGCCTGTCGGAGATTCGCCGCTTTTTCACCGGCGAGAGTCACCGTTGCCTCGGGAAACAAGGAGATAACAAGAGGAAGAAATTGACCTCTTAATCTAAAATTGAGGTCAGCGATCAAAGTATAACACGGGAAGGGTTCACAAGGGTCGCGCGGGCATATTCCATTCAGCACGTCAGCCGGTCGTGGGCAGACGGTCGCCGATTCGCGGAGTGCCTGCTAGGCCTAACTGCCCAGCTCGTTTGGTCGCGTTCGGTGGAATCGTCGCCGTTGGAGCTTTTACCCGGTGTCTGTGGATCCAGCGTTCTTGTTCGTCGTGCTCTGTTTCAAGTAATTTTTACTTTTTTTTTTGCTGCTTGAAGTCAGGACGCGTGAGAAGCTGACGTAAAAAAATAAACGTCCGTGGGTCGTCGCGACCGCGACGCTGTCGGCCATGCTGACTTGATCGTAAGAAGTGCGTAAGACAGCTTCGGAGCTGTCGCAGGATTTCGCCGTAACCTGCGCAAAACTTACGAAAATTTCGTTTCGTGAATACGAATTTGTTCTTAAAGGAGCTATGCAACAATTTTTGTACTTTGCGCAAATACCGCTTAAAACGGATCCCTAACGTTAATGACCTATGAAACACGCCTTCGTTCTTCACCCCACGCAATAGTAGTCCCAGAAAAAAATTAAAGAAAAACGAGCAGCGTTCACCCCCTCAACTCGCAGCCAGAACAAGCAACCACGTGATCTGGAGCCGATTATATGCCGCCAGTGTTGATCATAGCCACGCGCTGGGGTTGGCAAAGCGCAGGACACGCGCTGAGTTCCAGACATTGTTATGGCTCGGCTGTTGTCGTCGTTGCAGCGATTGGACACGGGTCGCTACCCGAATGCTTCTCGAGCTAGCAATTATCACGAGCCCAAGTCGAGTGCCCACGCAATGCTCGGGTCCAATCTATGAACCGCATTCAAATATCGTCACTTGGGTGTACTGCGATCCCCGAGTTACGTCATCAAATTTCGCAAAGGAGAGATTGAATGAAACTGATCGCTTTTGTCCTTGAAATTACACCGCAACAAAGGAGTTTCTTGGCCAATGGCGTTGCGTGTGAGTATCCTTGAGTCCCAGGTGTGCCAGTAAGCTCGTGTAGAGTGAAAAACATTCCAATTGAATATCGTTGCACAGCTCCTTTAAGTTTTGTCTTACGCACATTTTTGGCGTAAGATCGTTTCGTGAATCTGGCCTCTGCACTTCCGAAAGTCGCAGGAAACGTAAGACAGACGCAGACGACGTTGCGAGCAGACGACGTTGCAAAGAAGCAGACGACGCTCAGATAGGGGGTCGCGATCAGCCAATCAGGGCTCGGCGTTCTGACGTCACCGCTACCCCCTGCGCAAGGAGCAGACGAACTTGCCCTCCGCATAGGCTCTTTCATAGAAGCAAACTTGGGCGGAACCTTTAATTGTACTACCATAATTGTACTTCCGTACGTTTTAGGGAAACCCAAAACAGATATGCTAATCAACTCGTAATTAAACGTGCGAACTCCGAAGGGAAACAAAACAGGGCATGCTTTTGCACACTCTTAGTAGTATTCACTCTTGGTAGTTTAAATCTTTTTACACTCTTCGTAGTTTTTTTTTGTTTAAAATTAATGCCAGTGGCAGCTTGTAACTGTCTAGGCCATTTCAAACGTCCCATTGCATGGAAGGCTAGATTCTGAATTGGAACCATACGAAAGAGTAACCCGAGACGCACGCTGCACGAAGACTTCTTTCCCGCCTTGTAGCCAGCGCAGAACATTTTGTCCGTGATCTTGTTGTACTTGACGTAGGCCCTGTAGCAGTCCTCGTGATTCCAGACAGGGAGCATCACCTCCATCAGCAGCTCCGAGTGGCGACCCCCTGAGACCACATTTTTTTTTTCAGATTCAGATCTCCGATGGCATCATATGAACACTTCTTTCGTCTAAACAAAGCTGGCTTGACACATTTTGTTTCACGTGTTTTCTGCGAAACATATCTCTGGTCGGTTCCACTAAGCCGCACTCAAGCTGCTCAAACATCGCACAAAAGACGCGGTGTTTTCTCAAAACATGTCTGCAGGCAGTTTTTGTATGTCTAATGTGACAAGAAAGCCACACATAAAAAAAACACAACTCAGACAGGGCCTCCAGATTGTTTTTGTTTGATGTAATGGCAGTGTGACCTCGGTTTTATTGTTCTAGGTTTTCGAATAATTGTTTTTATTTGCTTAATTTCATCTAATAAAAGAAAATATTTTTTTTCTCGCTTAGGTTAAAAGAGATTAAAACGAACACTTATATGCTTTCGCAATGCAAAAACACGATTGTAGCATTAGAACGAAACCTCGCAGTAGGCTCGTATAAATGAAGGACTAAAAGCGGCATCTGTATGTTCGCGCCAGGAGGTTTGTGTGCTCGCCAACGTAATTCTGCGGCATCGGATTATTAGGGTGCATAAAATGCAAAGACGCTTCGTTTTCAAGGACAGCTGAGTCAAGGGGACGTTTTTTTCGATCAATATGCGTGTTATCTGTACGCTGTGCGTACAAATTAAAAATAGCTCGGACAAGCCGCGGGATTCTAGAATCCTCTGGCTCAGTCTCCAACAAGACAAACGAAGACTGAAGAAAATCATTCGTCTAGTTTACCACGACGGCGCTATACTTCAGGAAAGCACTAATTAAATTTAATGGCTCATTTGTTACAAATGGTGTACTTACGACGGTAAGATTGGCAACTAAAACATTTCAATGCTTTAATTTTGTTTTGACTTCGTTAAACATATTTACATGAGTATGTTTCGTGAGTTTATGTATCGCTGTGATTACCTTGTTTGAGGAGGAGGAGGAGGAGGAAAAACTTTATTTGTATGCCAGCAATCGGTGGTACCTTGCCCCGCACAGGGGGTGAGACATTGAGAAGTTTATTATGACAATTGACCCCGGACTAACACCCATGGCCATGAATTCAAACGATTGTTTTTGAACTTGTCTAAAAATATCTCAAATAAAAAAATGAAAGACGTTTACAACTCCCTGTAACGCCGAATTAGAGCGCAGCTCTTGAGGAGGAGGAGAGGGAGGTACGCAGAAGAGGCTATGCTCCTCCTCCTCTCCTGCTCGCCTCCCATTTAGGGAGAAACTTTCCGCTAATTTTATTCGAAAAATTGCCCCACTAAATTTAGCAGGAAAAAAAATCCCCGCTAAATTTAGCGAAAAAATTTACCCGCTAAATTTAGCGGAAAATGTTCCCCGCGGTTACGCCGACGCCGACGGTGGCGGCGACGCCGCTCAAGCTGGAAACGGGCGCCTAAGAGCTGCGCTCTAAAATAGTTTGAATCGGATTGCGGGAGATTTCTCCAACCTGAATGTTTAGCAACCCATACTGCTCGTGCAACGGTCAAACCTCGTGGTGAAAACCGTATTATTATCACACGAGCGAAATATATGAAGCCGTCTCCTAGCTAATTAGAAATAGCGCCAATAAACCTGCAGCGTCACAAGTAAGCAAAAAGAGAAGTAAACAAGCGGGTACGTCTCCGTCCATCTTAAATGATATACCACTACTTTTTGATAACACAAGAAGCGTAGTTCATGGCCGCGATCACCTGCCATCGGTTATTGATGCGTCAAAGAGCGATATTGTTGTTTTGGCTGAAACGTGTCCCACGTTTTGTCCACGAAAATAACATTTTGATAGTGCTATCAGCTATAAATTTTACCACTGTGAAAAAGTAAATAAGCCGGATGGTGGTATCTTAATCGGCAGCAAACGAAACCATGGATCGTTATCACGTGAATATTGCAACTCCGCTGGAACTTGTTTGCGTACGTCTGCAATCTGCCGATGGGCACCCTACGTCCGCTAGGAGCCGCTACCGATCGACAAGTGCTGATTGTTGGGCAAGTTGGTATGGTACGCTCTGTGGTGTCTGTCCTTCCTATGTCCCCGTCTTCAAAGCGCAATCATGTTTTCTAACGCTACCGATCGCCTAAAGCCTTTCGATGTGTTTCCGGTAGCGTCAAATGCGCCAGTGCACGAGGTCTGTGTCTCGAGCGGCCCTTAGAAGAAAATGGCGGCGTAGCACTGAAATGAGCGGCCCTTGGAACCGAATGGTGGCGGAGCACTCGCTCGTGGCACGTGTCTTACGCGTTTCCACGACAATGGATGGCGGTACTTGTAAAAAACGCCTTAATCGGGGGGCTTTACGACCGCCCAGTGAACAGCGCCGCGCGCGGCCACTTTTGAATTAGCGTAGGGAGAGCGGTAGAGTTCAGCCGCCGCTCCCGCTGCTTCCGCGCTTTCGCCAATGTGGTAGCCCAAGCAGGCAGTCGACCTCGCAACATCCACAGGTGTACCACCGCAGACGAGCTGCGACTGCCGAGGTCGCTTCCCGATGAGTACGCGCGACGCCGCCACGAGAGGCGCGCGTATTGGCACTGAGTAAGATCTGCAGCGTGCCCATAGGCAACCTGTAATGTTATTTGGTTTGGCGTTATCTAGCAACTGAAGTAAAAACAAACACTGGCTATGCCTGGAAGTGGCGGCTTCATTGTTTAAATGCGATCTATTACTTAAGGGCATCGCTTAGCCTAGTGTCTGATGCAAGAAATGCTAAGTAGGCCAGGAAGCCGTGGGCGTATTACTTGCCAGTACGGCGGAAGGTGCGGCCCCTGAGGGCCAATCAGAACAACGGAATGAGGCACGCGACTAGCATCGCCGGAGTACGCTTTTGCTGCGAAGAAATTTCAGGCTTTTTTCTGCGTCATGTTCTAACGCAATGTAGGGCATAACGTTCACCTTTTGCCAAGTTACAGCGGGACAGGTATAACCGGCCCTCACCTTGCTGGCGCCGCCTGGCTGTGGCCGGCTGGCTGTAAAAATGTTATTCTATGCGCTTCCTACCGTCTCCCCAATGCCTCCGATAATTTTTTCTCAGATGTACATGATTCTTTAAACACCATTTCTTGAACAAAAAGTAAGGGCGCAAACGAGCTGGTGTACATTGCACATGGTTGAAAAAACCCCGAGACTGCGGGTAAACGACACAACACTAAAAAGTCTCTATTTAGACTAGACTTTTTAGTGTTGTGTCGTTTACCCGCAGTCTCGGGGTTTTTTCAACCATGTACCATTTCTTCGGGTTTCTGCTTTCTCCTATGATTTGGCTAAGTGATTTTACCTCTTATTTATTGGTCTAGGGCATACCCGACTACCTCTCGTAGTTTGTCTGATTATGCTTATTTAATCGGTCTGTTACCAATTTTTCTTTTCACCCACGTGCCACAAGCCCTACTGGAGTAGTAGTAGTAGTAAGCGTTTTATTGGAAAGGAAAACCTGAACAGTTGGCCACTCCTAAAAATGGGGGCGAGTCAGTTCAGGGTTGAGGAATGGGTTAGAGGAGAGACAGATTAAAAGAAAAGAGAGAGAGAGAGAGATAAAAAACAAAGGGAAGGGGTGGATGACTGTCACTTGTTGGCACTCTGCACTTAAGGTCGGATACTTGTGGTTTATAGGCGATCGAATAATTCAGTGTCTTCTAAAAATGTGAGGAGACGTGCGAATGTTTTAGAAGCGGTCCCGGCCGGACCCGGAGGAAAAAGAATTTCCTCTGTAGTGGCATGTGCGACGCCGGCGCACTGCAGGCCGTCGATGAGGGATCTTCTCTCTTTCGTTAACGCCGCGCAGTCCCAGAGGAGGTGGTCGAAGTCCTCAGGAACATTGCAGGTTGGGCAGAGGGGTCGACGGTAGAGTTTATGCGGTGGAGGGCTTTCGCCGTGAAAACACATCCGGTGCGTAGCCTATGCAGCAAGGAGGCGCTGGATCGTTGTAGCTTCGGTGGGACACGTACAGGAGGTTTTCCGCAAGAAACCCGTGGGTCCGGGTGATGAACGATTATATCTTGATGTATAAGTAGTTTAGCTTCGTGTATTTTAGGTATTGTTACCACTGGGACATCAAGGTGATGAGCCGCTGCAGCGAGTTGGTCAGCGGCCTCATTGCCCGAAATGCCAGTGTGCGAAGGCAACCACTGAAAGGTTAATTGCCAGCCCTTTGCTTGTAAGCTTCTCGCTACGTGCGCGACAAATCGAGCGTATTGCGGTGCGTCTTCAAGACGATCTAGCTGTTGCAGCGCCATCTTAGAGTCTGTGAGGATTAACGCTTTGCCACATTGAGGGAGGTTGTTAAGTGAGTCAAGGGCAAGCCAAAGTGCCACAAGTTCGGCAGTTGTCGACGTAGTATAAAAACTTAGCTTCCTGGACTCGGTCATGTTGAGCGCTGAAATACACATGGCAGCAGTAGACGACTTACGGCTATGAAGCACAGAGCCATCGGTGTATACCCGCAGCCAACCAGCGAAGGACGTTTCCATGTGGTCTTCAACAAGGCTCCGGACTACAGGTTGGGCTGTGTTCCGTTTACTTTTGAGAGCGGGAACAGACTCATTGATGTTTAGTGGTGGAACGTATGGTGGTGGAGTCATGTAGATTATGTCTGGGTCACCAACGAGTGCTCTGAATTGCGCTGCCAGTTGTCCGAGGTGCGAGAGTGGACGCTGATGAAAACGCTTTAGGAGTGGACCTGTTGATTGACAAGATGACTGTCTTGCTATGTGCCGAAGTGTCAGCTCCCTGCCGTGATTTTCAACGAGATTGACCCTGGCTTTTACTAACGTTGGGTTTATTTGGGGAGTATCTTGGTAGGCCCAAGCATAAACGAATTGCGACTCGTTGAAGTGTCTCTATAGCCGAGGATTGGGTGCTGCTGGTGCGGACCAGCGGCAAGGCGTATTGTAGACGTGAGAGGATGAGCCCTCTATAGAGCTGCATCATCATGGCCTGGGGTGTTCCCCACCGACTGCCCATAATCATTCTGAT